ATGAGCATTATCCAAGCATTTTAGTGGGAAAAATGGAGCATTAAGGTGGAGCATTTTAGTGGGGAAGTAAAAGCATAATGAACAAAAGCCTACTGATCAGCTTCTTATCCAGTATTTCAGATTTTAGTTTGTTGAGCGTTTAGAATGTATGTCTTTCACTCCTGATACATGGTGGCTTTAAAAATATTCACAAAAAACTCAAATTTCTTTTTGTTAAATCCTAAAATGTAAAAAGTACTTTGTGGAAGTTCTTCTGGAGGGGGTTGAAAGCTGTGCTTTTGCAATGCCTTGAGGTCAACTGCTCCTGGGTGACCAGAAAATTGAAGTTTTTTTGATGGAAATCATGTGCTGAGCACCCTGGATTTCGCAGGTTCAGAGTGCACTAGGCTCCTTTTTTCTATGTTCTCTGTACTATTTAGTTCCTTTTTACGTGTAGGTAACATGGTGAAAATTTTTTAACGGTGGAAGAACAAGCAAGCAAAAAAAGAACTTATATGTACGTGTTTTATTTTTTGCCTTCAGATTTTACGAAGTGACTCCAACCTTAAAAATTCAGATGCTGAAATTCAACAGAGAGCACTTGAGTATCTGAAACTTAGCACTGTTGCATCTCCAGATGTTCTGGTAAGTTTTCATGCTCAGTAAGTCTTGTTAACAGATGACTTTTGCCTTCTATCCACCCCAGATCTTTGAACAACTTATGCTACAAGGGACTAAATCCTGGGGTGGGTTGCACTCCCTATATTATGACCTACGCAGTGAAGGCTTCAGGTATATTAAAGTGTAGGGAATTCAGGAGTTGAAGTATATGACAGGGTAGTAAATGGGTATATGTAACTTTTTCTTTCTATTAAAGGGTAAGGGGTTGCATCTCAGGTGAAACCTCCCCATATGATATAAAACTCTTAGAGTATCCACCTCTGCCCTCCCCCTCTCCAGACAAAATCGTTGGTAAGCAGTAGTCCTAGTGAAAGGTAATTTACCTTAGTGTTTGCAAAACGGCAATTATCAGACTCTTGCCTTGTGAAATGACACAGATGACGTTAAAAAGAACAAAACATCATCATTCCCTTCAATTTTTTTTTACTCAGGCCACAGTTCTTGAAGAAATGCCACCTTTCCCAGAACGCGAGTCATCCATCTTAGCCAAGCTAAAAAAGAAGAAGAAGGAAAAGGCAGGAATTTTGGACAAGGAAGAGAAGGCTGAACCACCAGAGAAACCAACTGCAAACGGACAGATTCCTGTTGCTAATGAGGTAAAGTATTTGCTGGGTATTTTCTTGCTTCCTGGACACAATAATATCTTTGATGGATAAAAGGCTTTGTTTATCGCTTGTTTGGTAACAGGTTGATTCGCCCGAAAGTCGATTTGCGCGATGTTGTTTAATGTAAGTCGATTTTGCTGAAATCCAACTAAAAACAACTCTGATAAGCAGTGTTATGGAGCGTTGTTTGTCATAGGGCGAATCGATTTACATCCAGGCAAAACAACTTTGGGTGAATCGACTTTTGGCAAAACGACCACAAGTTGTTTGTCTCACCATTTTGACAGATATTGATCGTGACATTTTGATGGCGTAGGGCAGGTCTTCATCAGGCGACAGTGTTGAAAACATCTAAAGTTTGAGTTCGTGAAAGCCGCATATCCCTGTCGTGCTCCTTAATCTGTTCATGCATGCACCGTCCTGTTTCACCAACATATGCTTTGCCGTATTCACAAGGAATCTACTCCATCTTGTTTTCATGGATTGTCAGCATCTTACAAATGTGGCTGGCACTAAGTGTGATCTTAGTGTTGTATCGGACTTGAAAACAGATCATACCCCATGCTGTGTAGGCAACGACAAAGTGGTGCAGATGGCCCTTTTATGTATGGTAGAACCACTGTAGATTTTTCTTTATTAAAATTAATGCCTGCTGAGTCTTGGATAATAGGGGTATCTGTTAGAGACAAGGACAGAGGATAAATGCTTCTTTTCCTCAGAGATAGCAGTTGGTTCAATGATCGAAGGAAAAATGTCATCACCAAGTTGGTGATGATATTTTTTTATCAGTCATATAAGCACTTGACAACACTACATTCAACTGATTGAGGGTGTTGTGAGTCATAAGACAGGTATTGATCAGTGTGAGTAGTTTTCCTGTAAATACTTGTAGTGAGGTGTCTTCAAGAATCTTTTATGACCAATGTGTCAAGGAAGGGAATTGTGTTGTCATTCTCAGTCTCCATTGATAAACGGATGGTTGGTTGTTGAGCATTGAGATGCTGTAGAAAATTTTCAACATCATTTCGTTTTAAGGTGGTAAAATTGTCCTCAACATAACATTTCTCTTTGGTTTGGTTGGAATGGAAAATAGAGCTTGTTCTATAAAGTATAGAGTTTAGCTATGACTGCAGAAACTGGGCCTCCCATGGCCGTGCTATCTTGTTGTTCGTAAATTGCTCTATCATACTGAAAGTACATGGGCCTTAAAACAAAGTTTAAAAGGTCAGCAATCTGTGTGGTTGTTAATGTTGTGCAGTCAGCAAGACATGGGTCCCTTGCTAGTTTCCATAGCGTCACTTGTACAAGACCTTCAATTAAAGCATTTGTAAATAAAGATTCTTGCAATTTTCAGGTTCCTGCTCCCAATCCAGCCCTACAGGCAGGTAAGATATTCACTTAAATAAATTATGCTAAATAAACTGAACAATAAATATAAAGTTGCATTCACTCATCAGGGCTTTCAGGTTAATGAGAAAATTATCCAGGGATTCTACAGTTTCTTGTCGATGGGAGTTGCATTTAGAATACAGAAAGGTATATATTGTACACTCCCCCTCCCTCCCCCAGCAAGCTCGGAATGACATTTCTGCTTCACATGTGGCCCCAGATGACATGTATACCATTCTCTAGGAAAGGGTTTGACTGCTATATGTGATACTAAAGAAGTTCATTTTATCTCTCATCTAATGTGTATGTAAATAAAGACACACATGATTCTGGGAAACTGCCCACCTACCCCTCCCCAACCCAACTTTGACACGGCTCACTTAGGGCAAAGTGTTGGGTTACGGGGAGGCAGTTTATATTAAAGAATCTTATACCGATGACCCTGTGTTTTGCAGATCTCATTGGCACTGCACCTTCTCCCGTGGCAAACAACATTGCAGCTGTTGATCCTGGAGCAGGAGGAGGTCTTCTGGTAGATGTGTTTGACATGCCAGCAGTACCATCAATAGGGGGTGGGGGCATCCCATCTGTCACTCCCGGTGCAGAGGAAAATCTCAAGAAGTAAGTTTTGTGTTACTTATGTTAAAGAACACTGATAATATCAAGGCTGTCACTAAGAGCTGGGGGCTGGGGATTTCCCTTGGCTACCATGAGCATGACTTCCAGCCATTTTCATAGGAAACAAAGGATAACGAGACCAAAAACACTCCCTGGCTATTCAGTTCCGGTCCTTACCTTCTAATTACAAATACCTGTCAACATGAAATCTTAGTGACAGCCCTGTAATACGTAAACTGTGTTGCAGACACTCTAAACCTTCTGTTTTCTAGACAATACGTGAGCCAGCTGCAACACAGGCTATGAAATATGTAGCAGTTATTGGATGATGCCGAGTAGGATATGAAGAATTATGAGATCTTCATAATTTTTCATATCGTACAAAACCTGAATCCAAGTACCCCTCTGAGTTAAGTTCCAGTCTCCAAAACATTTGCCTGTCATCAGCAGTTTCAGGATGTGATGTCAGGATGGTAATTCTTGTAGAAGCCCATCATGTAGTACTTGGCATCCCTCGCTTAGTATTTTCATTTTTATTTGCTGCGTTTTTGAGCCAATAATTTGGCTATTTTGTCTTTGCATAACACGGAAAGTCTTCCACCTTTTTACTGCCAAAACTGCTGAATGACTGAGCTGCTTTTTTTCGGGATATCTAGCCCTGTACATCCCTTTTTCACTAATTAACATGTTTATTGTAAATTAACAGCAAACTTCTTCCAAATTTGATCAGTGCTACAATCGGAGATAAACTTGTTGAGACATTGTACTCAAAATTAATAGGGTAACCTCAGAGAATAAAAGTATCCACATCCCTTCCCTGTCCCCTCCGTTCAAAGTTAGGTTGTGTGTTGTTTTCTGTAGGTAGCTCAAACAGCAGCACAACATTACATAGAGGGGATGGGGGAGGAAAAGCTATATTTCCCTCGTTTGAATTCAGTAAAACGTATAAAAGCCCAATTTAAGGTGAAGTGTGTCATCTCATTTTGTTACCGATTGTAGCCAGCTATGAAGAATTAGCTTGTGGAATTAGGTCAATCCAAAACGGATACCTACTGTGAATGAATAATAAATTAGTAAGTTATTTTGCCCTTCTCTTGGACATAATGTACAAAAATAAGACCTCAACCTTGCTATACGGAATATACTTATCTTGCTATACGAAGATGCTGTGTAGGGGTTGGGTGACTGCTCTCATTTTGTAAGCTCCTCTTTTGGTCGACAGATTTGTGTTCAAAAACACTGGTGTTCTATTTGAAAACGACATTCTCCAAGTTGGTATAAAATCAGATTTCAGGGACCAAGCAGGTAAGGAAGCTTTTGTCTCTTTTTTTTTTCTTTACTTTTTCTTCCTCTATCTTATGTCATCATTGTCATCAAAAACAACAACTTTATGACATAATAGTTTTTTAAGGCCACCATTTTGAATACGAATGTTTTTGGGGACCTCCCTAGAAAAGCTCAGCTGAGCTTGTACAGATCTCCTACTAGGCTATGTTATAGATGTAATACGTTAGTAATTAAGTGGCAAATAAAAGATTGATTGATTGATTGATGTTAGTAATTTTGATTCTTTTCATGATAGGAGCCATCGGTGTATTCTATGGTAACAAGACATCGTCACAGTTTGTCAATTTCTCCTCCACTGTTCATCTGCCTGGGGATCTCAACACTCATATCCTTTTGAGATGGTATATTGTCAATGATGAGAGAAAATTTTAAAGAACGTTTAACAATAAAAACTTGATATTTTCGACAACTGTCTGCCACTATTAGCAAAATGTAATGTTTATGTTAAAGTTTTTTCAGTGGATATAGAATTATATTTTATTATGTAACCACCAATGAAATACCAGCTGAGGAGCTTTCGCGCAGGAACATGATATCTTCACACGTGACAATAACATAGCATCTTCCCACATGAGAAGATCACAGTTGCTATGGTTACATGATAAATCATGCCTTTCACAGTAAATAATACATTAAAATGAAATGGTTTGGTACTTCCTTGGTGTTGAAATAATAAATACAACATTACATGGCAGCTTGAAGGTACAAAATTTCTCTTGATTTCTCGTGTTAAAAAATATTTCACTCTAACTCTTGAAGAGAAGAGGAATTTCGTTTCTCCAATCCTCAATATACATGTAAGGGCCTGTTAAATGGAAGTGGGGGACTCCAGGTAGGGGAGGTAACCCGTCTGTCCATGTTATCTCACATGTTAATTTGATCACGTTTACATGATAGGTGGGGTGACCATATAAGAGAGTATATGAACAGGTGGGTGAACCCACCTACCTGGGGTCCCACAGCTCCAAGTAAACAGGCCCTAAAATAAATACATTCTTGTTATTGTAAAGTATCCTTCCTTAATTCAAAGTAAGTCTCCAAGTTAATTCCAGTCCCCCTCCCAGTGTAGTAGAAGGAGGTGCCCAAGTGAAGCAGATGGTCAATGTAGAAGCTATCATGGACTTCAACGAGCGTCCACTCTTAGATCTTCAGTTCAGGTATCTTTTCAACAGTTCAAAGAGTCTTCATAGCCAATAACATCAGAGCTTAACTGACAGACGACCAATAAGATCACGACTTTATTGACCGATCAGGTCAATAACCAGAGTGATACAACTGACGTGACACAACTCGCTTTGACTCGGCTGAAGATGACTACCGCACAGGTGGTCGAAACTGTCAACAAGTTGATGACTTTTGCAAACCCTTCACTGTTGTAATAGCGCAAAGGAGTTTGTTAGTACGGTCATAAATAAGATGGGTAACTAGAATTCACTCAAAAAGTCTTAATCCTAGAGAACGCATTACTTGATTTCGTATTTTGATTACCTGTTAACATAGAATGGATATTTTGTCTTGTTCTTCAGTGTGAATGGTTTGAGCCAAAGAATTGTTCTTCCGATGCCACTGTTTCTATCCAAGTTCTTCACACCAACAGAAATGACTTCTCAAGACTTCTTTTCAAGATGGAAACAGCTAGGAAAGTAAGTTTCGTCTGATAGGAAGAAAAACTGGCGATATTACCCCGAGGCATTAAAAATGCCTCGACTACCTTATACTGTCAAATATAATGCTCTTGGTAGGACTGTTTTTGTTTCCATGCTCAACCTTAATAGCGATTTAAAAAAACAAAGAGACAATATTAATACCTGCCCCTACACCACAGCAAAACCCATGCTATACTTAACTCATTTGCGGTAACAGTCTGATATTATTTAGCCTGCAAATACAGCTCCCCCTCACCTCTTATCGCCGTTGCTAGGGTGTTTTTCGCGAGACGAGAGAGGTGGCAATATTGGAAGGTAGAAATGATTCTTTAGCAGAATAGACTCTATTCTATTATTTTTACATATATGTGAAACTTATTTGGCGAAATTTCATGCTGAAGGTTTCTATACTTTTCCTTTCTATTTTCAGCCCTGACCAAGAATGCCAAAAGATATTTCAAGCTAGATTTCCAATTGACACAGAAACAATTAAAACAAAGGTTTGTAGAAAGGTTTCTAGTTGTTTTGCTGCAACCGTAACAAGGCTGCAGGGTTCGCACGCACCTTGAAAATCCTTGAAAGTCCTTGAAAATTGCAGTAGGTACTGGAAATAAGTCCTTGAATTTCAATGCTAACTCAATAGTTTAGGAGAACTGAAAAGGAAAAGGCGCAAACACAAAGACCTCCTGATGTGGAAGAACTAAAAAAAGACATAGACTCAAGGCTCTTTTTTTGCACTGAACATGGTCCTTGAAAAATGAGAAATGTGTCCTTCAAAGTCCTTGAATTTTTTGTTCAAAAACGGATACGAACCCTATGGCTATGTCACGTGGATTGCTGTTTTGGTCAATTTTGTGCTGAGGTCATTACTTAAAGCCTTTACCCATACATAAAATGCTCCTGTAGAGTTTGAAGAAAAGGTGGATCAATGTAGGTTTCTGGGAAACTGCCCACCTACCCCTCCCCTAAGCTAACATTAACACTTACTTCTTACTTAGGGCAAAATGTTAGCTCAGGGAAGGGGCAGGTGGGCAGTTTCTTAGAAACCTAAATTGATACGAAAATGTCATACAAATTTCAACTGGGAGCACATAACAGTTTGGGGCCGGGGGGCAGGGAGAGCCGGGGAGTGATTTTTGTAGGCATAGCATTAAAATTTGAAACAGTTGGCCGAATTTTTTCAATTTTTTTTCCGTCCAAGAGTTGAATTTTCTGACAAACTGTAACTTGTGTAGCAGAGTTCGTGCGCTGGGCCAAGTTGCTGGAAAGTTGATTAGCGTGCTTCCAGGCTTAGTTACCTTGGCTACTACCATGCTCTAGTTTGAGCTATCCTACTTTACAAAATAGCTAAGGTAGTACGCGCGTTCTGATTGGTTTAAAAACCATGGTTTATTGTGCCGGTAAACTCATAGAAAACTAAACTAACTAAAACTTATAAAAGCAATAGACCACACTTTCTATGGGTTTACCGGCGTGATAACCCACTTGGGATGTTGGGAGAACACTCGAAAAGTTCGAAAGGCTTTTCTCGTGTTCTCCCAAAATACCGCATAGGTTATCACGCAGGCAAACCCATAGAAAGTGTGGTCTATTGCTTAAATAAATGCCACGGTCAAGTGGACCAGACAGACACTAAATTCTAACGTTGCAATTTTGGCTTAATTTACTTGCGTATTTTGTTTTCTCTTACAGCTTGTTGGCTTTGGAATGTCCCTACTTCAGAATGTAGACCCCAATCCTGAGAATTTTGTTTGTGCTGGAATAATCAAAGCACGAGGTGTTCAAATGGGAACGCTTCTTCGGCTAGAACCCAACAGACAAGCGCAGGTAAGGAAGTTTTGTTTGAAAGTATTCATCAAGTCTCTAGCTTGACAATGAACAGCCGACATTTTGACTTTTATTAAACGACCGCCGAAATTCCATACTAATGACGTAAACCACCCATATCTGGATAGTGCTTCTGATTGGTCGTGGCGCAAGGAAAATTTTCTTCAACCAATCAGAAGCACTACCCAGATCGGTTAGCGACGCGTCATCAGTATGGAATTTCTGCAATCATTCCTCATACGTCATTTCGCGGGAATCCAGTGGCGGCGTCGCGAAATGACGGCTGTTTCTTCAGGCAAGCAAATCTCTAACGCTAGCATATTACCTTTTGAAAGAAACTGCTGATCCACAGTCAAACAGCATCCCTTTGGAGAACAATATTGACCTCTTAATGCAGGTTTTTCATGTGAAAGGAAAGTGACACCACAAGTTACCGTGAAATTTCGAAAATAAGCCCCTCCATGCATAACCCCCTCCAAATATAAGCCCCCCAAACTCGTAACCCAAAAAACCCTCCGTTAAATCGCCCCTCCAAATATAAGCTCCCCGGGGGACTTTTTCTTGGAAATTGCCCTCAAATACAAAGTAAAACAAACAAAAACGGTAAATTTCCTTGCAACTATAGGGCTAGCCCAATCGATTTTGAAACGCAAATTTCCCTCCATAGATAAGCCCCTCCGAATATAGGCCCCTCCAAAAATAAGCCCCTCAAAAAGGGCCTTTGAAAAATTTAAGTCCCGGGGCTTATGTTCGGAATTTTACGGTACTTGAAATGATTCCAACAGATTCCTGTAAGAGTAAGGGTGACCTTACTCTGCTAGAACATAGAAACTGATTAACAACTGCGTGGCTTATTGAGTTGCATACCTGGGGTGTTTCCGGAGCTTCCGCTTTTGGCACAGCTAGCCCTAACAGCGTTACGTCCTTATGGCTTGTAAATCCGGGCCTCCTGGCCATAAGCCCTCAACGCAAACAAACCCAGGCACCCCTCAAACTGACTTATCAGTGGGGTGAAGGGTGGGGGTAAAGGATTGATCTACGGGCTAAACGATATGTTCAACTTTTGCAGATGTTCAGACTCACGCTACGGAGTTCTAGAGGTGCAGTTTCGCAAATGCTTGGAGAGATCTTGGAAGACCAGTTTTAAACCAGTCTTCTCTAAGGCGGAAAGCTGAGATAGGTTACAAATAAAAGAATCAACATGCAAACTGAGTAAAACCAGATTTTTTTATGAAACATCTATCACATCTTTATCAAGCCTCAAACAGTAATGTGCCGTAAAGAGTTGTCGTGTCTTTAAATTTGTTGTATCGAACAGGTGATGATTGTTCTGTAAAGTTCTTGTCGTGTTAGCTTTTATAGGTTTTGATCTTAGCCAGTCGTGTGAAAAACAAAACTTGTTGTTTCACAGCTATGTCTAGAACCAATTTACTGGCGTTTGGGTCAATGTAGCACGGGAGTCCTGTTTTCCCTATGCTGGGTCAGCCTAGCACAGGACTGCTCTTCTTGTTGTGCTACAAGGTTACAGTGAATTCTTCTTTCACCAGTTGGCGTATGTTGCTTTGGCGATATGTAGTTCATGTAATAATTATTGTTTTTAGAACGCGCGTTGATTTCATGAATGTAGAGGATAAATGACTCTACTACTGGTTGTAGGTAAAACATAGCAGAAAAATTTTAGCTTCATTCCTGAGATGCTTAATATTTACCACATTATTTTTCTGTTGAGCATAGCTCGTATGACGTATTATTTTCTTTAAAAAGCTGGCATGAACATTAAGTTTAGTGATATTTTTTTTCGTTTTTTTTAATTATAACACTACAGAAGCATTTCTACTTAGAACGTTATTGTTCTTTGCTGTGAACATGTACTTGTTCTATTTTCCAGTGCTTGACGTCTTGGCTTGGCAACTGGTTCTTGCTCGCTATTCCACTGACTTACGAACACTATACTTACAAAAGAGAGCGTCAATGGGTTACCTTGAAAGCGTACAACGACAATTTTTTGCTGTCGTAACCTCATAAATAACAAAAACACTAGGTCTAGGGTATAAAAGGTTTTCGTTTTTATTGTATACGGTATAAAGTCAAGTTTTGACCACATCCTGTGAAGACTGGCAACCTACTTGGTTGAAAGTGTTTACTTTATGGTACATTCTAGTAACACCTTCATTTCTAGAACGGATGGGAGAGAACGGGAATTACAAGTGTTGTAACTTTTGAGTCTGTGGATGAAATCCTATCGTGTGACCATTCAATTGAAATCTCTTTGTCAGTACTTTAACATGGTGCTATTTGTTTTTCAGCATTTTGCAAAATAAAATTAGGAATTTTTTGGAATTTTTTACTTTTGCCACTTTTGGGAGTAAAAGGGTTTACAGACTTAGTCTGCTTTTTGCTGCTTACTAACTGAGAGGGCGTTTTGAAACTGTTATTAAACTGACCAGAGGTACAGTGTATACCCCATTGACATCCTCACGGAAGTGGTACGTAACCAGGAGCCCAGTGTAAGGCAGAATTTGCAAGCCAGGGTCGTAGTCTTGGCCAAGACGTTACAACACTACAAAACCGCTATCTCGAAATGTGCATATTAAACCTATTTCTTTTCTCTCGTTGATGTCGCCGTCGGATCTTAAGGTCCCTATAAAACTTAAATTGTTTTTTTTGTTTTTGGACTTGAACAATCAGTCATCACACTGACAAATGGATGAGTTCATGAAGATGAATTGGTCAGACCTGGAGCATGTATAACTGAAGGCAACTTATGTTTGCTGAGGTGATGCTGTTTTAACGCTAAGAAATATCTATGATGGGATTGAAACAATTAATCAGCAGTTGTCAAAATTGTGGTATTTTATTTTACCATTGATAGTTTAACAGACGCGAGATGTAATACCTTGCATAATATACCTAGGAATTTTATATAGAAAAGAGAAAAACGAACCAAAAAAAACTTGTAACGTGTAACGAACGTAGAGTAGGAGTCATCTTGTAGGTGCTATGAATCGCCTGATGCCAAATAAAAACATCAGTACAGTAAAGCACCTTTGTCTTATTGTTTCGTTTACTATTTTTGGAGGAGCTGAAAGACGGGTGGTTTAGGAAGGAGGTAAAGTGGTGACTGGTAGTGAAATGCTAACCGGAAGTAGCCACTGGCAACATAAGAGAAGTTTTCTGTCCGATACTTAACTCTGTTAAAGGACGCCGTCACTCCGGGAAAAGAATGAACACAGTTCCATCGGAAAGGACAATGTGTTGAGTTACTGACTGTTCTCTCTGACGGAGCCATCAAACACATCAAAAGTTCATTCATCCGATCTTAACGAAACTCTTCTCCCAAGACCATCGGGAGTTGCCTTGATTTTGGATCACGCTTAGCTTGTTTCGTCCGATGTAAACTTTGGCGGAAACAGCTACAAAAACAACTTACCAAAACGGGTCGACGACTTTCATCTTATTTTTTTTACTTGCCTACGGAGGTCGTCTTTGAAGGCTCATCAGAGAACGATCATTAACAATTTAAACTCTCGGTCGTCTTTTATATCTAGCTCGGCTGATTCTTGAAAACGTACCTGCCGAAAATGCCAGCTATTTGACTGAAATAAGGCTATATTAAAGGCAAGTTTTCGGTCCAACAAGCTCAAAACAACAAAGGAAAAGAAACAGAATCATATAAAGAGTAAGGATGAGACAAGAAAAGCCAAACGATCACACTGTTAGTGTAAAATGGCTATATCTTCTTTTTGAACGACAAAAAATGGTTGAGTAACAAAAACTTTCTTCAAAAATCAAAAGGTGACTAGACTGTGGGGTGAAGGGGAAGAGATCACATCCAAAAGGGGGATAGAGGCTCCAGCTCTAGTTCTGTTTCATCCAATACCGAATTAAATAAGCGAGGATGAACAAAGAAGAAGAGGAAAACAAGTTCACTCAGGGACTTAATTCAAAACTTAACGGCGAATATGGAAAGCAACTTTGCGAAGCTGCACGAAGAATTATTTAGCCTGAGGCAGGAAATGAAGGAAGAAATTGATATGTTGAAGGGCAATATTAAAGGCCTGGAAAAAAGTGTAGATAAAATATGGGCGACCACTGAAGATATGAAAGAGGCAACCAAAGCACTGGAAGACTTTAAGACGGTACAGGAGGACGAGTGCAAGAACTGCGAGCGCTTCTTACAAAAACCAAAGCTGAGCTCGATTATAAAGGGCGTGAAAATCCAAAATTTCACAATATCCCAAAATCAGAAGAAGAGGGTGTTAACCACTCGCCGAAACAAGTTATTTTCGGCATCTTACAAAAGGAGTTGCAAATGGACACTGCACAAATTCGATTTCACGCAGTGCATCGAATTGGCAAGCGAAAAGGAAACAAACACAGACCGATCATTGCTCGCTTCGTTTGCCGAGAAGACAGAGATCAGGTTTTTGCCAGGAAGAAGGGAATTAAAGAGAGCACAAGGTTTAAGGACGCTTACATAACCGCCGATTATGCAAAAGCTATACAAGATGAACGAAGGAAGCTAATAAAGGCGATGTTCAAGGCAAAGGAGCAAGGTTCAGAGGCCAAAGTGGTTGGTAGATATCTGTAGATAGGAGAACTAAAGTATGATGTAACAAATATCCCTGAGGATTTTAAGTAGATCAAAGAACGAACATAGATCTGTTCAACTATTTTACGGTACTACTGGTGCAATACAACAACAACTTCTTTAAGTCAGATTGAAGCACATTTCTTAGAAATTTAATTAAGATCGGGCGTTTCACTTTTCGTGTTCAAAAATTCAATTCTGTATTTCCACTAGTAACGGAGAGAGATTTTGTCATTTCACTGATCTCTTCTTGTTTGTCTCAAAACTTTCCTCGGAGCCATAATGAAGGAAAAATTAGTTCTGAATTTTCCCCTGCAACGTCTTCCGCGTCGTACTCCGTGTCATACTCGCGGATGCCTGACGTCACTTCTTCCATCTTCGTCATGTTCGCATGTTAAGATGACTCGACCCAGTTATTTTGTGAGGATACCATCCTACTTCGAAACTCTCTGATATCCCCACCTTTACTTTGATCATAAGTCTAATATATAGCATGGATAACATATAGATCAATCTACAATATAGCATAAAATTTTGGCGATCGGAGTAAATGTCACTTGGTTATAGTGCCACGCCTCTTTAGGGTCTGAGTCGAAATTCTGCTGTTGCCGGCTCTTTTCGTGAAAATCTCTCGGCTACTTATAGTTCACATTAGTGCCTTCCGTTGAACAGAGTTTCACCAAAACCGCAAAGACCCAACGCGAGAAATTCAGCGGTTTCCAAATTTAGGTCATAATTTACATGAAAATGATAAGCAAACTTTACACGATTATATCTAATAAACTATGAGATTTATCCCTTTATTTTGGGGATCTTTATAACAGGATGGGTCCTTGCAAGTCAGCAAAAAGCTTTAGGGCCTTATAAATGCGCGCGATTTCGAGCAATGTAAACATGTAGAAATTATAGTTTTAGCTATTTTTTGACGTTTGTCAGCGTTGAAGAGTGCTTCTCACGAAAAAAAGCATTTCCTTAAAAATTCGCAGTTTTTTTTTTTCCTTCAATTTTTTAAGGGTCACAATTGATTAACTAACTACCCGGATTCTGAATTTCATGGTCATTGAAAAACTGTGACATTAACTTTTATAAGCCCAAACTTGAGTAAACATTGAAGATTTTCACCGTTTTGGCTGAGTTTGTGCTTTGGGAGTTTTCTGTTGTTTCTAGTCTGTCATGACACAATTATTAGAAGGATATTTTAATAAACTTTTTGTTCTCAGTCAGGATAAAATTGGTATATTGAGAGGCTGTGGTATAACTTCCACTCAAGCCATGTCACCATTCGACGCACGCAACAGACCGAGAACAGCTTCCGCATTCGCATAGAATCAGAGAACAATGGAAATAATGGTGAACATTGTTAAGTTTGTTTGTCTGTATGTAGGCAGCAGATAAACCGTGAGTATACATTCGGCAGTGTCATTAGTCCGGAAAGATTTAGAGCAGATTGCGAGAAATTCAGGATTAATAGAAAAGTTGAAATTTTCACCAGGCTTTTCACAGTGTAATACAATAACGGGATTGATTTAGAGCAATTTGCTGAGTATGTCATGAAACATATTGTTCATCTTGGATAATGTGAATAAGGGGTTTCGTTTCGACCGCGTACTGCGGGGACTGCCGGTCTTCTTTCAGGCGGTAGTGTAGATTTACTGAGTCGAACTATCTTTACCACCTTGATTGTTGTGTCACGAACATTGCACATGGTTGGTGGGTTTCGATCCAAAACCATTTCAACAAAATGAAACTGCAGTTCAATTTTTCTGATCATGACTGAGAATGTGAAGTCTGGAGTGCTCGCTAATTATATACAGTACAATACAAAAAGTTTATTAAATATCCTTCTGAAAGTTTATATATGATTAACAATCAGTTGCTAAAGCAATTCCAGCTAAAACTATTGAAAAATTATCCAAGATGAATTAAATAATTAACATCCTGAAATTAATGAACAAATGAAAGTGATTATTCCCATTATTCCTTTATGGGCACGGCGTTTGAAAAGGGCAATGTTTATGCTATTTTGGTGTCCTTTTTAGCAATAATTTTACACAGGCCACCAAGGCATGACTATGTAGTTAAATATGCATATTTTGATAAAATGCTATTTGGAACGGTTTGCTTCTATCAATGATCCTGAAAATTGAACTTCAAATGTAGCTAATGGCCTTAGCAATGTGGAGACATTTTTAGAGGCTCCAATTTTTGTCACGTGACTTATTATTGAGAATTGACGGTCGAATTGTTCTCTAAAATGGGGAAAGGATAATGAAAGAGCAACAAGTTCTTTAAGGTATATTTCAGAGGCTATTAAAAA